GTTTGTTAATGTATATGTATATATGTATTTTATACACACAAAGATACAATATTACTTATCATATTTATGCAAGAATATAGATAAAAATGCAATTTCTATGTCTCCGACTAGTCCCCGCCTAGGTGCCCGCCTAGCCGCCTAGGCGCCAGGCGCTGGGTTGGCGCCCGACTAGCGCCTATCGCTTTTTAGAACATTGGTAACTACTCATTGCATCATATGTTAATTTACTCTATTAAATTTTTTTATCCTAAATATGAGTTAAAATGTTTGTGAATTTCAAATTAAATCAGGAATGTAGTGTTTTTATTCTCTAGATGTGAATAATTATTGTCATGTTTTAGCATTATCAGATTTTAAGCATGACAGTGTTTTTCAAGTTTGACAAACCTATTTTTAGAATTTGAATTTTTTTTTTACATTTATTTCGAGGATCCCCAAATAACTATGATAATGACACTACTATAAATTCAACTTTCAATGTATTCAGTGGGTGGATCTTTGCAAATCACACTTACAAGAGGCAAAATGGTTCCATAGTGGGTACACGCCATCATACGAAGAATACATTGAAAATGCATGCCTTTCAACAGCAGTTCCTCTGGAAATAGTTCATCTTTTCATTTGGGCCAACAACCCTTTGGATGAAGAAGCCTTACACTGCCTCTCAGAGCATCGTCATGACATTATTCATTTCACATCTTTGATTCTCCGCTTAACAAATGACAAAGCAACATCTCTTGTAAGTGCATATTTAAATTCTTGAATAGATCTAGTTGGGTTTTACATGGATATGTTATTATTACAAGTTTTTGTTTCTCATATAATTTCAGAACGAGATGAAAAGAGGCGATACACCAAAAGCTGTGGAGTGTTACATGAATAGTGCTAAAGTCTCTATCAGCGACGCTCAAGATAACATAAACTCTCAAATAAATGAGGCATGGAAGAAAATGAATAAGATTGGATTTGAAGATAACCCGGCGTTCTCAAAAATATTCATTGAATTCTCAACAAATGTTGCAAAAGTGGCTCAGTACATATATCAACATGGAGATGACCATGGGGTGAAGTCTATTTTTTTCGAACCTATTCCTTTATATTACGCTAGTTTTTCAAATAAAATTATACTTGGATGACATTATGAATGCGGCACTATTTTATGACACAAATAAATTTGATTGAATATTGAAATTTCTAATTCGGGGTTATAATTACTATTGTGATACCCGTGTGATGCAAACAGTTTTATTTTTATATATCGATGTTTACTGTAATAAAGGGGAAATCATGCTTTTAATCTTTCAGTTATTGCTCACATTGAAATGTAATCCTTATGTATTCAATGTAATAAATGTTATCTCTAAGAGCATCTCCAATGCTATAATGTGCACGGTGCACATGTGGCATGAGTGATAGCCACATAAATATTAGCAAATAAATCATATCTCTCCTTATTTGAATGATTTTATACAATTTTGGTAAGTTTTTCCCTGTAATGTCAACAACAATGTCAACATCTAGACGGTCTCCTTGACATTGTAGAGAAAAACTTACCAAAACCGTATAAAATCATTCAAATAAGGAGAGAAAGAATTTATTTACTAATATTTATGTGGCTATTTCTCAAGCCACGTGTGCACCGTGCACATTTTATCATTGGAGATGCTGTGAATGTTGGTAATAATGTGTTCCTTCCGTGAAATTGAACTACAAAGTTATTTTTTTGAAATTTTGCACTTGTTATAGACATTGTCAAAATCTTTCGCACTGATAATCTTTAGCCCATCAATTGCTCATTTTTAATATTCACTTTATTCAGCTTCTTTTTTTAATTTATCTTCCTTATTACTAGTCTGTTTGCCCCCTTTCATTAGGGATGGTAATTTAACCCGACCCGACGGGGAATACGCGATTTATGTAAATGGGTAATGGGGCGGTTATGGGTTTATACCTACCCGCCCCGTTACCCGTCCCATTTAATTTAGATACGGTTACCCGCAACATTACCCGAGCTGCACAATTAACGTATATATTTTAATAGTTTATGTATTTATTATTTAATATATTAAATGTATATGAATAGTAGTACATTAGTATTTGACACTTATACTCTGTAATACTTTGAAACACTATTCAAATAATCGGCTATTCTCTTTCAAAAAAACATTCATAAAATTCACGTTTGAGTGTAAAGTCCAAATATTGTGAAACATTACTCTAGCTTGCTTTAATTTATGTAATTGCTAATAGTTTTGTGCATGTGTATTGGATGATTAGATTAAATTTGATTGGTTGTTCTAATTTATATCAAGCATTAAATTTAAATTATGAGATTTCTAAAATAGTAACTACAAGAATACCAAAATCATAGTATAAGAAGTGCCTTTTAGTGTGGACAAAGATGCGACTCTAGTAACTTTAGTGTTTATAATTTTATTCAAATGTTATATGGTAGTGACTATAAAACTTATTCATGGTGACTTATAGTCACATTTATGTCCATATATTTTTTATTAGTAATATTTTAGGAAAACGCATTGAATGCACAAGATATGCAACATTTGGTGGGTGGGAGATTAACCACTAATGATCCCCCACATCATCACTACCACATACTCTACGGTAGTATAAATAATAGCATTTATTTCATTGTTAGTGGTTGACAATTAACTTATACTATTAGCTTTAGCTCTCTGTTTGTCTGTAATCAGGACTTAGAATAGACCTTTGACCCTTGGTCAAGTGTGTGCTGTAATTGTTCTCAAGTGCTTGCCCACTGACTGTCTTTCTTCCTTCTTGCTGAGTACTTGTTCCTTTGAACTATTAACTAACTCACAAAATACAATCAACCCATCAAAATATCCAACGGAATCCCTAGAGAAAGTGTTGGATTCTTGAACCAACAACAATAAACCTCAACAATAACACTAATACATAGTTTTTTAACGCGAGTGTGAATGTGTGATTGAGTAAATATTAAAAAAAAAGTGTGAGTGTGTGTATTTTTTAGTTATGTCTATATGTGTGTGTGCATACATGCATATGTATATACATATGTATTGCTCCTTATTTGAGTGCATTTAAAGTAGAGATTTTGAGTTTTACATAAAGATAATGTTGAGGCCATAAAGAGAAGTTGATTGGTTTGGATATTCTTTTTGTCACTATACTATCTTCCAAAGTACATTTGACATGAGATTATGATAGTTGGATTTGTGTAATAGAAAGTTGGGTAGACAGGTGAAAATATGTAATAATATGTAAGAAATATTGTGAACCACAAATTCGTTTTAAAATGGGGAAATGAAAAGATTGCTCTTGGATAGATGAAAAATGAAATTTGGAAGATAATTCAGAGACAGAGCGAGTATTATTCAATATTTTTTATGTTGAAGTGATATTAGAATAATAAATTATTTCCTCCGTCCCTTTAAACCTGACCAAGTTTAACCACACCCAGATTAATAAAATAAAAAATTGTGTGATTAAAGATTGTCTGAACTGCGAATAAGAGAGAATTAACATGAACAATAAATTCTTTAGTTAAACAAAAAAGTGAAAAAATTAGAGAGATAATAAAAAATGAGAAAATGCGCAAAATGGTACAAAGAGTTTTTTCAACGGGAGTAAGTAGTACTTCATCTTGCATTTGAAATTTTAAAGCACATGAACTTGTGTTTTTATAGTCGATCAAGTATATCTACTCTGTCAGAACGTCAAAGTAGCTAATATGTCCAAACTATCCGCTTGTGTTATACAGTGGCAATAAAATTCATCAAATAATTAATCTATACTCTATTTTTCTCTCGTCCACTCTTTTTCACCTTCACTCATCATCTTATATTTTTCTTTTCTGCTCTCTTTTCTCTCTGCACTACATCTTATACTTCTCTCGTATGCTCTCCTCGTTATCCTGTCGGCATCTTTTTGCTCTATTTTATATTCTTCTTCCCTAGCTATAATAAAAAGGACTGATTTATTAATAAAAAAGGACTGATAGCAAATAAAAGACGAAGCTGCCAAGATAACAGGGAGAGCAGCCAAGAGAGAAGAAGAGCAGCAAGGGCGGAGCTAGTAGGGGGGCTCAACCTAGGTCATGGTCCACCCCAAATAAAAAAATGCTTTAATTTTAAAGAAAAACTTATGTATAATTTTTTTTCCAAAAAAATTCTTTGTATTGGTCTTGTCCGACCCAGTGGCCTAACTCCGCCCTTCAAGAGCAGACGAGAAAAATATAAGATGAGGAGCGAAGGTAAAAATGAGTGGACCAGATGAAATTAGAGTTTATAGATTAATTATTTGATGACTTTGACTACACACGGATATATTACAAACTGATATTTTGGCCACGTAGTTGTTATAATTTTAATAGAGCAAATATACTTGATAGTTTCAAATGTAAAATATAGTACTCCATACTATTTAGGGAGTGTTTGCAATTGCTTCAACTTTAAAAAAATGATCTTTTAAAGTGATTTTGGGAAAAGTGATTAATAGTAAAAGTTGGTAGTGTTTGAGAAAAAAGTGATTCTGAAAAAGTAAAAGTTGGTAGTGTTTGGTAAAATAAGTACTTTTTGTGTAATAGAAAAAGTGAGAAGCAGTTTAAAGCACCCTTCTACATGCTTCCAGCTTTTAGTTTCTAAGTGATTAATTTAAGCAGAAGCTGTCATTTAAAAACACTCTTTTCAACTTTTTTTAAGTCAAAAGCTGAAAAGTGTTTTTTTAAGCAACGCCAAACACTCCCTTACTCCACTTGAAAAAATTGATGTGCCATTTTAATCATTTTTTCATAAAATATTGGCAAACTTTACAACAAAAGAAAGCTTTGTAATACATGCGGTGCGGTCCCAATATTATAATTGGGCCGGAAAATAAAGGGGACAAATTGCACAGTAACCCATTTACCGTGATTTACAGCTTTCTCAGAACGGGGAGGAGCAGGTAAATGAACGTTGAGCTACAGACAAACAGCATACCGTCTTCATCTTCCCATTCACCACCCTTCCCTTCCGGTCCCACCCTCCCTGCAATCTCTCTATCACACACACCAGCACAACCCTCTCTCAAAGCTCTGCAACCCCCAAACCCCACAAACTTCAGAACCCCAACTTGTATCTCACCATTTACACAGTCTCTCTCTCACACACCCTCAATCAAACACTTGATGGGCAGCATTTGAGCCAGGAGGGTGTAAATCCAAGGTAAGGTTATTAAATTTTAGGGTTATGGACCTGGATAACAGACCCCCTCCCCACCACAGAACTCCCAGCATAAGTAACAATACTGGTGAGCTCCTCGTTTGCTTCGCCTCTCGTTCATCTTCCTCCATGAAGCTCTCCAAATCTATACTCAGTCCGGGCCGGTCTCGCGACCCCTCCGTCTCTCTCTCCAATTCTCTCAGCCGGCGGCTGCGGAACAACGGCAGCATCAAGGCCGGCCAGGCTTCCCCGATGTTCCCCAAGAAGCGCGGCGGCTCTGCTTTCGAGAATCCCGAGCCATCTTCTCCCAAGGTGACTTGCATTGGCCAGGTCCGGGTCAAGACCAAGAAGAAAGTGAAGCACGCCGGCGGTGGAAGCAGCAGAAGCCTGTCCAACAGACGAAATGGTGATCTGAGTTTCAGAAAAAGATTAGATCGACCGGGTTCTGCGGCCGAGGAAGACGACGCCGGGAACGATAGGTTATCCTCTCACCCCCCCTGCCTGCAGAGGAGTTCAAGCGTCCATTATCAGGAATGCGTTCCTCACAGGAACCAGAGGTGGGTTCATTTGCCATTGACGATTTGCGAAGCTCTCCGAGCTTTTGGTGCGGAGTTTAGCTGCTTGTTCCCATGCCGGTCTTCGTGTTTCTCAGCTAACAATGAAAGGGGAAAAGAAGGAAAAGAAAACGGATCTAAGGAGGGCGGGGTTGACCACAATGGGACACATCATGGATCGTGTGGGGCGGTGTTCGCGAGATGGCTGGTGGCTTTGCAAGATGGAGAGGAAGGAGGAAAGGGTGGAAGCAGGGAGATTCAGCTGGTGGTGGCCGGGGATAGAGACCACGGAGAGGAAGAAGAGGAGGAGGAAGGCAGAGAAAGTAATGCTTCAATGCTGGGTTCAACAAGGAGGCGGCGGCACGTCTTTGAAGGTATTGACCTAAAAGACGAATCTTTTTTTCAAGTTCAGAAAGGTGATGGGGAAGAAAGTGGAGGTGACAAAGACAAAGGGAGAGTTAGTATTTGCATCCCACCCAAGAATGCTCTGCTTTTGATGAGGTGTCGATCTGATCCTATGAAAATGGCCGCTCTAACCAATCGGTTTTGGGAAACCTCAGATATTAAAGACGAAGAAGACAATGAGGGTGAAGAAGAAGAAGTCGCCGGCCATGGTGAAGAAGAAGAAATGCTCAGATCTGAAGTGCTGTCAAATGGATGCGCGAAAGAAGTGTCTGAACACAATGTATCTTCCTCTTCATCTGTTGAGCATGAAGAGGACCACCACCTTAGAATGGAAGAAACATCCATGGGTGTGGAAGTTCTGTTAACTGAGAATGAAATAACTCAATTGAATCCAGAAGAGAAAGAAGTCGATGAGATTGAGATTAAAAACGATGCAGAAAATATGTTCAAAAGACTCGAAACAAATGGCCTGATTTCATCAGATCTAGAAGAAATTGTTACGCCCTTATCATCTTCTTCATCGGAATTAAACTTCCCTGAATCAAGTTGTGAAACAGAGGAAAAACTAGCAACATTCCACATAGAAGCTGCCCACCTCCCCCAAGAACCAGAAGAAGTTAAAGTTGATGGAAGCCGTGAAGAACCCACAAGACACGAACTTGCACTGGAAGAAGGGGAAGAGGTAGTAGATGGTGGGGTCGAAGAAGAGGAAGGAGAGAATGTGGAAGAAGAATCAAACGCACAGATTGATGAGAAGATTAATTTGAAGATAGAAGTTAGCGATGAAGAGGCTCAAGAGCCTGTAGAAGATGACAGAAATGTTGAAAAACAGTGGAAGTATGAGGAAGAGGAGAAGCATGTTTTGCCAGATTGTTTACTGTTAATGATGTGTGAACCTAAGCTATCCATGGAGGTCTCGAAGGAAACATGGGTATGCAGCACAGATTTCATCAGATGCATCCCGCCGGAGAAGCAACAAGTCAAACCACCCAAGACCCACGGCGGCGACGCCAAGAAAAGACTCATTACTGCAACAGACAACCCTACGCGGCCGGCAGCCCTGCACGACAGGAGCCGCCACCTCCTCCAGCCGCGCCGGTCGTCCTGCTCTCTCCCGCCGAGGTCATCGTGCTCGCTGCCGCCGAGGTCATCTTTCTCCCTCCCGCCGAGATCGTCGTGCTCGCTGCCGGCGGTGGCAGTCCCCGGCGTTTCAATGGCGAGCATGATCGAACAGAAGCTGGTCAATGCAGTGGCCTACGAGCCGTTCGTGCTGACAAGGTGCAAGTCGGAGCCGATGAGGACGGCGGCGGCAAAGCTGGCTCCGCCGGAGCCCTGTTGCTGGAAGAACAGCAAGCTGGAGGCCAAATTCGGGTTCGGAGCTGCGGGTATCGGGTTCTGACCCGACCCATCCGAGCTGTCAAAATTTAAATAAATACGGTGTCATTTTGTCGTAATGTATATTTTCTTGCTTTGTGATATGGATATTTTTCAACCTATTATGTGGATTAGGATATTAATTTTGTTTTTCATAAAACGCTAATTTCCAATTTCCAGTTTCCTTCTTACATGTAGTGTTATTATTGTGGTCTCCGCTTTGACCGTTCTGTCCCCTGTGTAAGCTGGATTATTTGGTGCAAAATAAATGTTTAATATATTGTTGTCTTCTTGCTTCATTTTTTGGGTGTAAAAGCAGCAGTATTCTCGTGTCCTCATACAGTGACGGTGGATTCTTATCATGTGCGGCTGGACTTCTTTTTCCTGATTTTAGATTTGAGCATCTTTAGCTTAGTACGCTCATGCTACTTATGCTGTTTGACTATACAGAGAGCTCTTCTCATCAGGCCGGCCTGACGGGCTGCCCCGTCCGGCCGAGCCCGTTTGGGCACCTTCCCGGTGGAATTTTTTGATGAAATTTTTTGAGCATGTTTCTCATCAAGTCTAGTTTGTCCATACCAAATTTCAGCTCAAAATTCGATCGGGAAGGTCGTCAAATGATTTTTGCAAGTTAACTGGTCCGGAAAATACATATTCCGGACCAGTTAACTTGCAAAAATCATTTGACGACCTTCCCGATCGAATTTTGAGCTGAAATTTGGCATGGACAAACTAGACTTGATGAGGAACATGCTCAAAAAATTTCATCAAAAAATTACACCGGGAAGGTGCCCAAACGGGCTCGGCCGGACGGGGCAGCCCGTCAGGCCGGCCTGATGAGATGATTTCTCTGACTATACATAATCAAATCTCCATTTATTTTATTCTCTCCGGTTTTTATTAAACTTCACACTTTCCTTTTTGGGACGTTCTAAAATAAACTTCACACTTCCTTATTTCCTTTTTTGGCAAAGAAATCTACATCAAAACAGTGACAAACAATGTCAAACAGTGTCTCAACAGTGCCAAACAGTGTCTCAACAGTGTCAAACAGTGTCAAACAGTGCCTCAACAGTGTACTCTACAGTAAAGTCAAATTTCTTTCTTTATTTTGTGTGAAGTCAAAGTGTGAATCTTTTTAGTACTTTGTTAGTTCCTTTTTGTTATGCCACTTTGTTAGTACTTTGTTATGCCACTTTCCTTTTATATGTTTTTAATCTTTTTATCTCATCCCCAAATCACTTATGTAATCTTTTGAGTCTGAAATTCTAACGGAAAGAGATGAATTATCGAATCAGTTAAAATGTGAAAATTTATACTATCTCCGTCCCAAATTGATTTGCAAATCTGACTTTTCTTGGTCAAATAGATTTATTTTATTCGGTTAATTAGAACGTCAAATCTTAATAATATTCTAATTTGGAGTTTATAATAACTTGGAAGAGATTTTAATGTAGATTCTGAATATATAAATATTAATTATTCAAAATTGAATTAATTAACGATTGGGAGCATTGACTTTTATTATTTGTTAACCAAAAAATGTTGACTTTGCAAAACAATTTGAGACGGAGTGAGTATTTAAATTTTAAAATATACAGAGTATTTTATTGTTATCAAAGTAAACAAAATGTAATGAGAAAATAACTAAAATATGTGGATTCAACAATTTCCTTTAGTATCATGATTCTAACCATTACTTATTTTGATTATTATAAAATTCAGTGAGCAAAATAAAAAATTGCATCTTTAATAAAAATGATGACAGAAAGATAAAAGTTGGGATTACCAAACGGGCTTCAGAATTGGCTTATTATGTTGAATTTGGTGAAATTCAAATTGAGAATGTTGAATTTGTTGCATTATGAAAAAAATTATATTATTAATATGAAGCATATTTTATTGATAAAATACAGAAAGAGTTATATGAAAAAATAATTAAAATAATTCTCTAAATGTATTCATTTTAAAGCCCGTTCAGTGACCCTTTTTTCATCTTTCTTATCAGTCAACTTTTTCATCAAACTCATAAATTTTTATTCTACGTGTTGAATTTTGTAATAATAAGAAAAAGTAAAGTTAGAGTTACTTTTCCGGCTCTATTATCTGATGTTACTGTAGAGGATTATTTTATATGTTTTTCCATATAATTTTTTATTTACTTTATTCACAAAATACTTTTTTTGGAATTTTTCTTCTTCAGAAAGCAGTTGAATAAGCCAATCCAGTCACTTCAGCCAGAACTTCATAAATTTCAACAGAATTTATCAATAAAGTTGATTTAGAAGCTGTTCCGTTCGTCTTAATCTTATTACTTATTCCTTAATCTTATTTTATTCAGATCAGATCAGATCAGATCAGAAAGATTCAGATCAGATCAGATCAGATCAGAAAGATTCAGATCAGATCAGATCAGAACTTAAAAAATTCAGATCAGAAACATTCAGATCAGGTGAACGGAACAGCTTCTTAGGTGTTACCAAACGAGCTCTTAATTAGGTAAGTAACTTTACCTTTATTTATTTTGAATTATAAAAGTAATTTTTACAATTTAGCTTGCGAAATTATAAATTGCGGATAATAAAAAAGTTACTCCGTAATTGATAAGGATGCTCCATCTCCCAGTGTTGTTAATAAAAACTTAAATGATCCGATATCACATTTTAGGGAATTAAATACGCCTTATTATGTGGATAAATGAACATCTGAGTCAAAACATTCTCCGTAGATTATCTTAGTAATTAGTGTTTGCTCGCAAATGGCGCAAGAGCTTAATTGTGTCCAATATTAAAATAATACTTTTCCTTTAAAGAAATACTATCGTATTACTCGTGTATAATATGTGAGATTTTTATGAGGTTTTTAAATAGTGTATAAAATTATCCTATATTTTATAAGTCATTAAATCGGTTATATTCCTAGTGAACCAACTTTATGTGGGAAATATGCCTATATTTTTGTAATTGTGAAATTTTAAATTAGTTGTATTTTTCATTTTAATATAGGTTTAAATATAGTTTTAGTTCCTGCAAATATGACACACTTTATTTTAAGTCTCTGCAAATTTTTTTTTCATCCCTCTAATATGCGCCATTTTGGTGTTAGTCCATTACTAACTCTGAAACAACTCTACTTAATTATTTTATTTTCGGATACATAAATCTACTATAAACATTTAAATTTATCATTTATAATTTTTTGAGTTTAATTTGAGAGTTAAAACAATATTAAAACTAATTATTCACATTTTTAAAATATGTATTAAAAACCTTTTAACAAATGAAATTAAATACTTTTTGAATGACATGACAAAGAATTAAAGGAAACCTATTTGTTGGGATTGCTTCATTGTCAAACAGAGGTTGTTATTATTAGTCATGGACTAAAAAGAAAACCAACATAAATTTTGGAGAGGAAAAACAAATAAAATATTTTGCAGGGACCTAAAACAAAATGTGCCTTATTTGTAGGGACTAAAACCATATTTAAACCTTTAGTATATGGTATAATTGTAACAAGAATAATGTTTTATAATGAATTGTGATAGTAGTATTTCTACACACAATACACACACATATATATATCATGTTGATATTGATTTGGTATAAATGCAAGTGTTGTGTGTATTATGAAGTATAAAACTTTTGTGATTACCGGTGTTCAGTGTTCTACAAGGAAATAACCTAAATTTAAGATCATTGTTCTTTACGTCGTGAGAGTGGTAAGAATTTATTATTAATAACGTTGCTCAATAATTGAATAACTTTTATATTATTTTAATAACATATACGCCATAACCAATTCTTGTCCCGTGCGGTCGTGCTTGTTATTAAATCAATTGTTAAAAAAAATTAATTTTAATTTCGTTTATCTGAATTTAATATTCCAAACCAGTCTCATATAATTATTTTTAATTTATTGAATTTAAAATAATTTAAAAGTTTTTTCGAAAATATTACTAATAAATAAGTCACAGGCAAAAATGTGACTTAGTAACTTTTAGTAACTATAATTGTGTTCAAAGTGTACATCATAGTAACTACATCATAGTAACTGTGAACACAATTATAATTACCAAGTCACATTTTTGTTCATCACTTTTTCAGAAGTAATATTAGTGGATTGTTTTTCATAATTTAACACTTATTCTAAATTGCTTGTTGCTAGGAAGTCTAAAGGAATTGGACGCTTATTGAGGAAATGAGTGCATTAGAGAAGATATTAATAGTAGAATACATGAGGTGGAAAAAGATCATGTCCATCCCGAAGGACAGGGGCGCCGTCCGGCCGCCGCCGTTTGGGATGGTTCTAGGTGGAGGTTTTTGATGAAATTTAGTGAGCATGTTCCTCATCAAGTCTAGTTTATTGACAAAATATTTCAACTAAAAATTTGATCGGGAAGGCAATCAAATAATTTTTGGAATATAACTGCGTTTTATAAGTATAATTTTGCGCAGTTAACTTCAAAAAATCATTTGACTACCTTCCTTATCAAATTTTCACCTGATTTTTTTTGTGTATAGACTAGACTTGATTAGGAACATTCCCAAAAAAATTCACCAGGAACCGCCCCAAACGGCGGTGTCCAGACAGCGGATCCTGCCCCTCCGGCTGGACAAGCTAAGATCATTTCTCTACATAAGGTTATTACTGTAAATTGTATTATTTTTTATTAATATAAAAACATATGTCAGAGATACCAATTGATAAGTCCTATTCTATCTCTATACACATATTAATTAATGGTGTTTCAATTTATAGTTGGATTGAATGTGAGGTGAATGACAATTTTCCGTTTGGTAATATCAGACTTATCAGTTCATTTTTTCACTAAACACGTAACTTTTGATTTCATGCGCATTGTGTAATAATAATAAAAAGTAAGGTTAAAGTTACTTTTCTGTCTGTATTGGGTGAAGTTACTGTATATTATCATTTTAGCTATTTCTCATATAAGTTTTTCTTTATTGTATTAATAAAAAATATTTTAAATATAATTTTTTCATAAATCAACAAAAACAACCACTTGAGCCAGAATTTAAATTCCAGTAGAATCAGCCGATTCAACCAATTTCGGTGTTACCATTTTCTTAATATCTTTTTGTAACTGATATTAGTGAGAGGTCGTGATTGGAAAGTTAAATGTAAAGAGTTTACAATTTTCACTATACTCCCCACTCTTATGAATGTTATGATCTATGAAACAAGGCCACTATTTTGGAACATCCCAAAAGTAAAACACTCTTATGATCTATGAAACAAGGCCACTATTTTGGAACATCCCAAAAGTAAA